ACAAAAATGTGCATAGTTTGAGTTTGTATTTATGGACTACAGTTAACAGGTGTTATATATTTACACTTTCATGTGACCCTGTTTTATCATTGGTTCACAAGGATTTTGAAGTCCTGCTGTGCTTAACTGAAATAAATGTAGGATCTTACTGAAATGTAAAAGGGAATAGTGTAATAGCAAACCTTGTCCATTATTCCTTTTAAAGATTTTCTTTAATAAGTTTTTTTTAAAATATGCACCTGTATAAGTTAGTATTAGATACCTCTACAAGTGACAGACAACCTAAGTTAATCACTTTTAGCAAAATAAAATTTGTTTCTCTCCATGCAACCTGGAATGGGAGCTCCACTCTCCTTAGGGAACTCATCTCTTCCTATAGTATAATGTGTTTGCTCTATTATTTGAGAATATTCTCAAATATATTCTACTCTTGAATTCTACTATGAAAGATCAATCCAAGAACATGCATCATTGGATGCATGAAATTCATAAGTTTTAAGTAGGTAATTCATAGGTAGGGAACATATAAAATGTTAGGTAAGAAAGGAGTTTATGAGATACAGACAAAATTCAAAAGCTGTATTTACTATAAATTGTTTAGTATCATATGAGACATGTAAGACACAGAGGTAGTAAGTAGAGCTTGTGTGTGCTACATGGAGGTAGGAAGAGATGAAAGAGCCAAAAAGTGCCAAATATTTGTAAGATATCAAATATTCATGAGGTACTCAATATTTATGAGATCTTGAATTCACTATGCATTGATGACTCCCATTTTGGCTACAATTGCCCTCTCCAGACAAAATGCACTTAAAAGACACGTTGGTCTGGATGTCACTAGGGACATATATTGAAGGCTGTATACTCTGCCCGGCATCTCTCCAGTGGGGTCCCTAATCTCTGTTTTCTAAAAGGAAGTTCAGTCACTTGTTTTAATTTGGGGGCCAGTGGGGTGGGGAATTCGGTTTTTTTTTTACTTATATTTTTAATGGCAGTACTGGGGACTTCATGCATGGAAAGCATGCGCTCTACCACTGAGTTATAACCTTCCCTCTCCACTTGCTTGTTGATGAATCTGACAGCCTGTTGTGCCATTTTTCCCAGAGCACAGAGTGCCTCATTCCTGATCTCAACCCAGACTTCCTTTCAGGGTGTATTGAAGGTCACAGACTGCAGTGGTTAAATAAATGACTCAAACCTGTAGAACCAGATGGCTAGTGACACTGTTTAGCTGGCAAAGGCTAGAGGAAAAGATCTTCCTCCCCAACAGTTTCATAGTTATCTGGGCAAATCCTAAAGGACATCAGCCTCCTGTCCTATCCTTGAACACCCAATATGAAGTATTCAAAAAAGATGTGATATCTCAGTTCTATGCCAAAATTCAGCTCAAGATCAGGAGTTGGGAACAGGTATCACCATCATACAGAAATAATTTTTTATTTTAATTTTGTTTTATTTTAAAAATCCTGGGTTTGGTCATCAAATCATCACCATCATGAAGGTTTTAATATAGACTTCTATCAGCAATGAGCCAACAGATGAGCAGTTTTATTTATACTTGGGGGCTCATCAATATTAATGCAATGTAATCTCAGAAAACTTATTTGTTACAGTGTGTAAAGCCTTTCTAGAAATATCACATTTAGATTCTGTTTCTTCTGAAAAGCAAAATAATGATGGTGATTATTTGGAACCTCAAAATATCTTGCTTTTTATTTTAAATAAATTATCACATAATTAGTATTTTTTTCCTTAATGACTGATATCTTTGAATCAGGCTGGTTGTCTTCCATGGGGTTAGTACTCATCTCTTCCTGCCCCTGCTTCAGTTTGCCATCTAAATTGGGTGTGCTCAGGAAACTATATCAATACTTTTGAAAGATACGAAAAAATGTATAAAATCAGTGCTGGGAACTCCAGCTTGAGGAAACAGAAAAGGAATCTGGTTTTGTCTAGTTGGTTAACAAACCTGTGGCCATCACCGCAAGTAATGCTCCCAACAGAGGATCTGAGCAATCAGTGTTTCATCTCTTTGACGTAATCTTACAGATGGTTGAAGACACCTCTCCTAGGCTTCATGCTTCTGGCCTTCATGTCTCATCTCACTTAGGATGTCTACCCCACCCACCATATTTAAATTACAACTACCCCCCAGCCATTTCCTACTCAATTGCTGTCCTTAATCTCCTTGACCTGTTTTATGTTTTCCTTTTTACTGACTATTTTTAAGTTTGGGGGGCGGGTATTTAGCTTTTTTTATTATTATTATTTATTTTAATGGAGATATTGGGGATTGAACACAGGACCTCGTTCATGCTAAGCACTTGCACTCTACCACTGAGTTACACCCTCCCCCTACTTTGTTTCCTTAATCCTCTTTACCTACCAAAGCATTGTATTTGTTTATATTGGTTTATAAAAATCCCTTGCCTGGTCCCTGAAGACATTTGAATTTGCAATGCAAATAAATCAAGCTTGTTACCTGAGGATCAACAGTTTGCCTGTGGCCATTAATCCAGTCAATTGAAGACCCAACCCTATGAACCAACTTTAACCTCAAACTAACAGATTTTCTCTTTCTACCCTGAGTATGAAGTGCCCCAGGTCAGCTAATATCTTCAAGGTCTGAACAGCACAAAACAGAAATGAAATGGGACCCTAATTTTTCAGCGGAGCACAATTGAGACTGCCTAAAAATAAACTAGAAGCTGCTGACAAGACAGAGGGATACAAAAACTCCTATGTTCAGCTCCTCCCAAGGCCTTGCCTCTCAGAACAAAAGCGAAATTCCTTTCAGTGGCCAGAAGCCCCTACATGATCTGGCTTCCAACTCTCTACCTCCATCTCCTCCTAATGTGCCCCACCCACCGGGTACAGCCACCCTGGCATCTCAGCACCCCTCCTCCTCTTTCCACAGACTGCTTCTTCACCTTTCAGCTCTTTGCTGAATGAACAATCTTAGCACCGTCTTCACTGGTCACCTCAAAATTTCAACTCCCCATGACACGCCATATTCTTGCATTATTGTTCTTCTCACCATCTAATGTGAAGGAAAAGCCCAGCTGGGCTAACAAGCTAAGTCACAAATCTAAGTGTAACAAGTGTCGGATTACTGATCTGAGTTCTGCTGGGCTAACTCGTAAATCTAAATTGTCGGTTTGCTGATTCCCTGTTCATGTTTTTGCTAGCCAGCTGGATTTTCAAAGAAACATATCTGGCCTTAAAATGTTGGTTTGCTGCCTCACTGCCTCTACTTTTGTGATAATGATGTTGCTAAAGTTATTGCATGCCTATTGGCCGAATACCCCAAGCTTGTACTTAACCCTACAAAACCTCATGCACACGTCTTGGAGGTGCTCAGGGCTTAGGAGCAGAAGCCCCTCTGAGCCCGCTGGTGTAATAAATCTGAGTACTCCAACCCTCCGAGTGGTGCTTGTTTCTTGGCTGGCCTGTCATTTCCGTAACACTAACATTTGATGCAGAATATTTATCTGATGTATTGTCTGATGTATCCGATGCAAGTTCCACAAAAGCAGAGAATTTTGTCTGTTTTGCTCTCCGAGTATATTCCCAGTGCTTAGAACAGCCTCCGGCACATTGTAAACTCAACAAACATATGTGGAGTGAATATGTTTTAAAATTCCTCAGCGTTAAGAAATGTTTGTTGGGGGAAGTAATCATGGCATCAAAATAGGTTTTAAAATGGTAGATGTATATTAAAATAGTGAGAGAGGAAATTACAATAATCTTTATTGTAATAAAGCTTTATAATAATCAAGACAATAATCAAGGCAGAAGAGGTATAGAAAAAAACATTTGGCCAGTGTTGACAATGTTGAGGCTACGTAGGGTTTATCAATCTATTATCTCTAATATTATATATACTGAAAAGTTGCATAATAAAACAGGTTTTTAAAACAATATGGGGAGGGAGGGAGATGAAGGTAGATCACAAAACGAAGGCTATGGAGGAAGACCACCTGAAGGCCCAAACAGGACCTTGTGCTAATCTGTACAGAAAAGGCCCAATGTGAAAAGAGAGGTATCCACTGGTTGCCTGTGAAGAGTCTAGAGTAGTCTTGTTCCATCCCTGAAAACCTGGTAATGTCAACCACTGAAAGCAGCTTCATTTCTCAGTATAGATTCACATTAGCCCTGTCCTCAGAATTGGCTGTAAAAGCCACGTAATATTTGGATTCACTGCAGTGAGATAAAGTGATTATAAACAAGCCAAAAAGTCCCTTTTGAGACTATATTCTTTCTGAAGGCAAACTTCAAGGAAAGCATGATTCATTTAGGTAAACTGAGTCAAACAAGACTTAATCACCATAAGACTGGATTTTATGTAGCCTCTAGTCTTGGTCCTCACTACCTATTGAAAGCACTTGAGTTTTAATAATTACTGTTGCCTGGGTCCATACCATATTTATACTTATACTGATTGGACCTCAACCAAAAATATTTTTTGTAAAACCTCCAGTTGACTGTAATGTGCAATTAACATTGAGGCCACTGATCAATGATGAAAAGAAACTATCCTAGGGGCACCTTGTTATGTGCAATTGCTTGAGAGCAATTTCATTCTATTACATAAATACGTGTAGTTTGAAATGCTTATTTTTGATGAGCCAACAGACAGGCTGTTTTTCTGGGTGAGACCAAAAGCACCATTTAAAAAAATAGGCTTCTTAAACTAGCATTCTTAAGGATCGACTGAGGTGAACTTATTACAGTGTAGATTGACTCAGTAGACCTGGGTAGGGTGTGAAAATCTACATTTCCAGCACATTTTCAAGTGATGCCCATGCTGCTGGTGGTAGACCACATTTTTTGAGTAGTGAGACTGTAGAAGCCAGCTGGGCTCCCTACGTTGGGTTCTGCCACCCGTAAGTGTATTTAAAAATCTTTCCTGAGTAGTCTAACTTCTTATGTGACAAGTTAACTATAAACAAAACAGTGCTCTCATTGTTCTCTGTGTAAAAAGACAAACATTTCACAGGAAAAGTTTCACTTTTACTTTGCAGAGATTGAAACAATTTGCACAGTTCCAGACACTAAAAAGCAACAGCCAAAGCTCTATTTCCCAGTTGCATGGAACACAGTTTGGAAGGAGCAAACAGCAAATCCACTCACCTTTACCGAAATTCAGGGGATAACACTTACCTTTCATAATCCACATGCTCAGATAACCTGATTATCACACCACACTGATTTCTGCCCCTTCTAACGGCCTACAGAATGTATCAAGTCCTATTTCCCACCAGCCAAAGTTATCTTTTAACTTTAGTATGTAACCTACCCATCGATGCCCAGGTGGGTATTTAACTGAGAGACTGAAGGACACTTCGTATCAAATCCCACATGAAAAACAAATGTAGCCAATAACCCAAGAAAAACTCCCCACACCGATGTCCCAGGCAAAGCTGGTTTCAAACATTCAGCATTAAATCCTTAAGTTGCTACGTAAGACAAACTTAGTAACAGCTATTTTAAAGAAAACGTGGGTGGCTCTTAGAAGAGCCTTTTTTGAGTTGGATTTAAACAGATGGAAAAACTTTATGCTCTCTCCCCGCGGATGCGGCGGGCAAGCTGGATATCCTTGGGCATGATAGTGACACGCTTGGCGTGGATGGCGCACAGGTTGGTGTCCTCGAACAACCCCACCAGGTAAGCTTCGCACGCCTCCTGCAGCGCCATCACGGCCGAGCTCTGGAAGCGCAGGTCGGTCTTGAAGTCCTGCGCGATCTCGCGCACCAGCCGCTGGAACGGCAGCTTGCGGATCAGCAGCTCCGTGGACTTCTGGTAGCGGCGGATCTCGCGCAGGGCCACCGTGCCGGGCCGGTAGCGGTGCGGCTTCTTCACGCCGCCCGTGGCCGGCGCGCTCTTGCGGGCCGCCTTGGTGGCCAGCTGCTTGCGCGGCGCCTTGCCGCCAGTAGACTTTCGAGCAGTCTGCTTAGTACGAGCCATTGCAAGAAGTACGGAGAAAAACGCACAACTTGATGGCTTGAGGAAGAGGTTGCCTTTATATACACTCAGAATCATTCTGATTGGCCTTGCGGTTTTTCAAAAGTCCCGCGAAATGAAACCATTGGCTGAAGCATCAACGATGTGATTGGTTAATTACTACAGGTTCTGATTGGATGAATTACTCCACATTCCAATCCCTCTCTTCGTTATAGTCTACTAACCATAGGAGCTAATTTTCTACTGTTCTAGTTCAGCTCATCTCAAATTGTAAATAAGGAGCCACTTCGTGATTGTGGAATATGCCAGTTCTGACCCAGTAGATCTATGTAATGTGGCCTAAAATTCCGAGGACCAAGCTTTTGAGAAGAGATTTACTTTTATTGTTTTTTCTCAGCGGTTGCTTTTTCTGAACGGAACCTGGAGTTCCCTGGACTGCCACTTCCTATCTCCACTCTGGGAAGCCACAGGTAAAGCGATTGGGCTAGAGGTGATAGGCAAACAGTGCGCCAAACGATTGACTTTGCTGTAGTGCCTAAATGAGATTATGGTTCGGTTCAGAATTTGAAGAGCCCGCGCTGATCTTTGATTTGCCAGTGGTTCTCATTTTGCTATTTCAATGTCTTAAAGATATCCCAAGCTACCAACCCCACCCGCCTTTTCCGCAGTATAGAATATTCTCCTTCTCTCTAAAGATCTGGAGACTACTCAAGGTTTTGTAAACGGTACCAAAACTTGCTTCCTCACAACTAAAACCCGTTTACGATGCTATTTTCTCGTAAAACTCCCGTATCCCTGAACCACATTCCAAGCAGTCATGTGAAATAGCCAAGATAATAGCACGTTGAAAAAGCTATATTTATATCCAATGGCTTTAACTGTTGAAGGCTTATAGATGTGAATGGAAAATGTTGCCTGTCATATCTGTTAAGGATGTTTGGAGGCCGCTCGCCCTTCTGAGTAAAATGGCCCACATTCTGTCTATGGAATGTGTGTCTCCCAGGCCTGGGTCATTCTCTCTTGCCTTAGAGATGGCACTTGCTTTAACATCCCCAAGCCTCTTAGCCCCTTCGGCCTTATGAGTTAGCCCGCAGTATGGAGTTATGTATCTTTCCGAATAAATCTTTTACTCAAAACAAAAACGTAGCTATCAAGCCACTACAACCATGATGCCAAGCCCTCAGCCACCACAGCCACCTCCAACGGTGCACCCTGTGGAAACTCAGGATGGTTAAGAACAGCATACTGGCCCTAGATAGATACGGTGCATAAAAAAAGAAATTTTAAGAGCCCAGACCCTTGCATCTTCCCTTACATAGAAAATGCTAAGTTCATTACTCTGACATAGCTCGTTTTAATTAGTGGTAGTCTTTTGGTGTTCCCACTACCTCGTCTTGGTTGCAAAAACCCCTATATCCTGGCTCTTCCCTTTCTTCAGGGCAGTCTCAGATCTGAGACGCTGCCTCCCGAGCTTGAAGTCCTCAGAAATCTCACGAAATAAAACAGAATTCTCAGCTTCCGGCAGTGTCTTTTTTTCCCTAGTGGGCAGACTAAACCAGTGTTAGAATTAGTTACAAGCTCTCAAATGTGAAAACATGGATGGCTCTGAAAAGAGCCTTTGGGTATAAGGTTGTAGCTGCACGCACGATATTTAGGTAAGTTCACTTGCCCTTAGCTTTGTGGTGGCTCTCAGTCTTCTTGGGCAGCAGCACGGCCTGGATGTTGGGCAGGACACCACCCTGGGCGATAGTGACTTTGCCCAGCAGCTTGTTGAGTTCTTCGTCATTGCGGATGGCCAGCTGCAAGTGGCGAGGGATGATGCGCGTCTTCTTGTTGTCCCGGGCCGCGTTGCCGGCCAGCTCCAGGATCTCGGCCGTCAGGTACTCCAGCACCGCCGCCAGATACACCGGCGCGCCGGCCCCGACCCGCTCAGCGTAGTTACCCTTGCGGAGCAGGCGGTGCACTCGACCCACGGGGAACTGGAGCCCGGCCCTCGAGGAGCGGGTCTTGGCCTTGGCGCGAGCCTTGCCGCCCTGTTTTCCGCGACCAGACATAATGAAATAGCACAGACAGGTTAAAAAATCCAAGAAAACGTTATGAAACGCAAGAAACTAGACTATTATACACTGCGGCGGTTTGGTAAAACAGCCTGTGCTATTGGCCGAACCCAAATTTCAGCCAATCAAAAGCCAGGTCTAAACGCTTCTAATTTACATAGGAAGTCTGTAGTTGAAAGGTCAAATTACGTAAGGGTGAGCGAAGGAAAGAGCCAATGAGAGTATGGAATAGATAACAGCCTATCAGAGGTTACGATGCTGAGAAGGCCAATCAGAGAATGTAATTCTGCCATCCGTAATTTGCATATAGGCCAAATAAATACTAAGGCTATGTGCTTGTGGTTGTATTTTACCAGTGTTCTTTTTGTGGTGGTAGTTCTGTCTTATAATGCCTGAACCAGCTAAGTCGGCTCCAGCCCCGAAAAAGGGCTCTGGTTATTTTTATGACACAAGCTCTGAAAACAATAGGAAGTTACCTTTGTAAGAGATTCATCAGGGAAACCTCCAGCGTCTCGATGAACCTGGAAGAGGAGGATGGCTAAGTTGTCTCATCTGTGGAAAAGTCACAATTTACATCTGTATAATAACCTTACCCATATGAACTGTGCTTCTCATAGTTACCTTCCACAACTGACTCCCCACCCCCAGCATCTTTTGTCTTTAGTTGAAGATGGTATTTAAGGCGGTGGCTTCAGCTATTTCGTAGATGTACTCAGTTTGCTGGGTATCTCCAGGGTATACAGGAGGTATAGATGTTGCTACCTTGTTTTTCCTCCTGTTAATCATCAAATGGGTCAGCCAAAGAACCTCGAAAGGAAGGTTTTCCTCCCTACACCTACACAGATTTTTGTGAACATCAAACGAGTACATGTTATGGTGATGCTTGAAGAAAATTCCCTAAACCCCACGTATAATTAAGACACTCCTTTCTTGCTCTTCAAAGTTGATTTTAAATACATTTTAAAACCATGTGTTCATGAAATCTATAAGCACTTTTTAAGGGGCAACCCTCCAGGATATGATACAGTCCTGAATGTTAAATTTGGGGAAATTGCTTAAACTCTTGTGAGCATTTCCTTACCTCTGAAATGGGAATAATAATTAGCAACTGTATGGCATTGCTGGGGTGATCAATAGAACACAGGTAAAGCACTTAGGACGTTGTCTGCACAAAGAAAGTGCCTCCAAAATAGTAGCTGTTGCTAAAGCCTCTGGTTGAAGTGCTTGGAAGGTGCCCTTGGTCCTGCCCACTTTGGAATCTCAGAATCCTGAGGCCTTGAATGAAGTAAAGTAGGCCTCAAAGCCAGTAGCATTTGACACCAATTAGGATTTCTTTGTCTGGCAGTGTGACCAACATTCCAAACCCCTTTTAACAATCTAAGCCCCTCTTTTAAAATCATCTTCCCCTGAACTGTTGTGAGGACAACCTAGTGCCTGTGACTATTAGACTTCCCTGCTTTGGCCAATTCAAGCAACGTGTGGCTTATTTTCCAGGGATCTTTTCATGTCTCACCAGGACTAGTGGTACCTCTTTAATAGATGTGTTGGGTTATAAGGAAGGTTATACAGGAACTACTCACCTCCACTTGCCTCTCAGATCTCGTTTCCTTTTCCTCCACACCCTCTTGCCCTCCATCTGCTCAACCACAATAATTACTTGCTACCTCTAGGCTTTCCTTCTTGGTCTTCTATTAGGAACTTCACTTTCTCAATCTGTTCTCCCCTCATCACTTATAAGCTTGCTATTACCATATCATTTAAAATATCACCTCCTTCCTCCCCACACTAATGTCTTCCCCAGCTTCATTGGATTTCATAGCACCATCTGAAACACCATGTTTTATTTACCTGTTTTGTTTGTTTCCCTACCCTGACAAATAAAAGTCCAAGAATACAGAAATATTCAATTGTTCACTGCTATAATTCTATAGCATCAAGCAGTGCCTGGCACATGCTATGTGCTTTGTTTTGTTTGTTAATACCCTCATATGAATTCATCTCCTCAAACTGATACCTTAGCTCCAGTAACATCTTATTCATTTCATATTTAAGCACTGGAGTCTGTATCTTTAAAACAGACAAGATTCCAAATGACTCCACTGCTTTCTGGCTATCAAAGTATCACCCTACAAATTAGTTGCAGGCCACAAGGAGGAAAATTGATTTTACCAGGAAACCAGTTAAGTAACTCTAGGCCAGTGCTGGATCCATCATCTTGAATCTGGATAAGCCTGACATCAGGTGCTCTTGATGTTGTACAGTAGTATTTACATAAAAATCTTTAAACCGTTCCTCGACAAGAAAATTAACATGATTTCATTTCATTTAAGTCTGAAAAAATCACTTCTACCTTGCAGGGCATACAGGGTACAGGAGTCAAGGATAATGATCCATTCGGAAACAAATGAGACGAAGATAGTCTGCAGGCCAGGTCTACAGCAAATCAATGTCTGAAAAATAAGTGTAATCGAGGAAGACAAAACTTGTAGATTGAGACATGAGACAGAAACAAAGGCATGATTGGACCCTCCACTTAGCAAACCAGGTATCTAAGATGACATTTGCAGCATAACAAACATCTGTTCATTTGGACTGAGTATTAGAAGTTAGGGAATTTGGTTTTAGTTTGAGTGATTCTATGGGAACTATTGAACTATTTTAATAGTGCATACTTAATGTGACGTAAAATATTCTGAGTGTACAGCTTACTCAACTGTTAAATTCAGGTGGCATTAATGTTAAGTAACATACACTAACCACTTTTTTAAACGCTCATTAGAGGAAGTCAGAATATAGGGGTCTCCCCGCGTGTAAATTTTCATTTTTCCCCCAGTGCCGTTGGTACAAGGGTGTTGGTCGGCAGAGCCGAGCAGCAGCGTCACGCCACATGAGCACAGGAGCGCGCTCCTGCCCAGGGGAACGACCCGCCCCACTCGTGAGCTCGCCTCTTCCGGCCGCGGGTTCCCGCCGCGGGCGCCCTTTGTTCCCCGCCTTCGCCGCCATCTTGAGCACAGAAGAAAGGCGGGGTAAAGGCAGCCTCCAGTCGCTACATCGCCGGCAGTTTAAGCCAGTCTTTCTGGTACTCGAGAACGCTGCATACATTCCTAACCCAGAGTAAATCTTTCTGGGGCAGATAGCACACACAAGCCTTTTCACTGTCACGTGAAGTATCATAGTGCGCAAGACTATACCTAAAACCACACTGCAGCAAGATACTTCAAGCTGAGATACTCACCTTTCTAGAACATAAACTGCGATTTAACGTTACTATTTGGCGACAAAAAAAGAAAAGCTAGATCCTAGAGAATAACCACTGTAGAATTAAGTGTTAGGCTCCTTTACCGAAAGTTGTGGGCGGCCCTAAAAAGGGCCTTTGGTGAAAAAGTGTTAAGATTGCTGAAAACAGGAGACTTAACCACCAAAGCCGTAGAGAGTACGGCCCTGGCGCTTGAGCGCGTAGACCACGTCCATGGCCGTGACCGTCTTGCGCTTGGCGTGCTCAGTGTAGGTGACGGCGTCCCGGATCACGTTCTCCAGGAACACCTTCAGCACCCCGCGGGTCTCCTCGTAGATGAGGCCGGAGATCCGCTTCACACCACCACGCCGGGCCAGGCGCCGGATGGCAGGTTTAGTAATGCCCTGGATGTTATCTCGCAGAACCTTGCGGTGGCGCTTAGCACCCCCTTTTCCAAGGCCTTTACCTCCTTTACCGCGCCCAGACATACTAACACCGCTCAGAGAACTCAACAGACAGAGCCTCGCAGGCAATTACCCTTATATGCGTGGATTTCGGACCGAATTGAGAACTGAAAGCGCGCTCTCGGGCACTTTCATTGAGCCCGCCAGCCCCCCCCCTTGCGACCCTAGTTAGAGGTGACGTCACGACGACGTAGTCCCCGCCCACATAATGTGCCTTCCGCAGAAGCCTCTCCAGCCTAAATGGAAATTTTCGGACCTTTGTTTTTTTACAACTACATCAGACTACAAAAATTAACATTTCTTATTTATTATCTTTTGCTCCTTGGGATGCTTTGTGATGATTGCACAGGAGATTTGGCCCTCACGACCAGAACTGCGGCAACTTCCGTTGAAATGCGGAAGCCAACTTTGCTCTCAACTTTACAGTGCCTCCAGCATTTTTGCTGCCTGCAGTAAAGTTCCTTCAACCCAAACCCCCATCCTAAGAAACTCAGAAACTACAATACTTCACCCTTTCCATCACCAAGCCAAGGAAAATCTGACCAAAAGGGTTTTCTTCCTGAAGGCGAGTACATGGTTGGTTAATGATTGCGTGGTACAATTCTCGCTCGCTGCGCGGAAGCCCGAGTTCCTTTCCCATCTCGTTTGTTTTCTTTCCTTATGTTTATTACAACATATAACTCTCATTTATCTATCCATCCCTCACCCCTGCGCCTGGTAACTTAACAATGTTAACGTTTATTTTTCTACTCTTCGTTTTGTTTTCTCTGGTTCTAGTAGGGACATTATTCCAGAGATTTGGCAACTTGTAGCCAGAATATTGAAATAAATAGGCGACCTCCCGTAGACTTCTCTTGAGGCTTAGTAAATCGCATCCGACCAAAGTTAAGAGTATTACTAGTAGAAGGTGCCTAGCAGGGAGCAGAGTGGCGCAGCGGAAGCGTGCTGGGCCCATAACCCAGAGGTCGATGGATCGAAACCATCCTCTGCTAAGTCAGGTGTTTTCTTAACTTACGTAGTTAAAATTTTGTAGGTTTGTCTCACAATAAGAAAATAAAATAAAATGGAGCCTTTAAAAAGAAAAAGTTTCTGGAATCAAAATAATTTCCTGAAAATAAAAGTGGAACTATTTACATTCATTAACTAAGGTCCTCTCATAATAAACCGGATTTCTTGGCTGCCAGGATGACCGTGCTATTGTTGCCACCAGTTATGACAGTTCTCGTGGCCCTATGAAGCAGGGAAAATGCTGAAATAAATTGAAGGCAAGGGTGGAAGCCAAGATACTGAGTTATAGTTCCTTCTATAACATAATTAGTAAAGCACTACTTCTTAGGTAATTATGACCATGTGGTTAAGGTGACCAACAAGAAATTTGGACCATCTTGACGCAGATTCTTTGCAACTACCAGAGATTTACTCTCTGGAATAAATAAGTAGCAGTTTGAGACAGTGCAGAGTTTGGGTGGCCACAAATGTACTCTGACCAGGGAAAACCACTTCAACCACTGCTGGTAAATGTGTCTCTACCTTCATTTACAATCTAACAGAATTATTCTCTATGCTCATTTTCTAAAGTATACATATGGACTGTTTTATATTTTCCTCTCTCAGAAAGGATTACTATTCAAATATTTATGTGTTAGATACTGTGCTAGGCGCTAAGAAAAGACATTAAGTAGCGTACAGTATAGACACGCTCTTAAGCAAGTAAATATGTAAAGATGTATGTATAATATATGTATAAGGTATACACAAGTATGTGTAATACAGATATTTCTTTAAAAAGATTGTATACTAAGTGCAATGGGACCAAGGGAAAAATGATAGTTATTTCCAGTAGCCCCATGACCACCAAGTAGTTGGTGATTCACTGGAAGGATTCACATGAATCAACATATACCCAAAGTTAGGATTTATTACAACAAAGGAAAAAGTGCAGACACAACAGGAAAAAGATATGCACAAGCAAATACTAGAGAAGGCTTTCTTGTCCTCCATCTTCAGGGATGACACAGTTGATCTTTTTTGCTTGAGGGGGAAAGCCATGGAAAGCAAAACACCAGTCATGCTCAAAAATTATTTTGGCTGGGTTTGCTCGATGATGATCTTCTGAAAGATGAAGTCTCCCACAGGCTGGAGAAATAACAATATATATATATATATATATGTGTGTGTATATATATATATATACACACACACACACACACACATACATATATATATACACACACACATACATACATATATATATATATACAGATGTTTGTGTGTGTGTGTGTGTGTATAATCTTATGTTGACCACTCCAAACTGGTCATCCCCACATGGATGTTCAGTGCACAACTCAAACTTAACATGTCCAAACAGAACTTCTCACCCTAACCACACACACTCCACCTTCAAAGCACTCCTTCTGCAGTGGTCCCCATCTCAGTAAATGGAAACTTTGTTGTTACCATAAAAAATTGTGGAGATGAATATGACTTCCCTATTTATCTCACACCCTCAATCCAATCAGCAAACCCTTAAAACATATCCAGAATTCAACCACTTCTCACCACTTCCACCAACACTACCCATGATGATTTAGCCACCATCTTCCTGCTTCCATGAAAAAAAGGAGAGAACAACTCCATATTCAAATATTTCCAGGATAGAAGGATCTTTTTGTTACATAATCTCCACCTTAAAGTTAAACACAAAAAATCAAAAATATATGTTTATGAGAAATTCAGCATATTTATACTGAGCTCCTACTATTTGCCAGATGTTATTCTGCAGGCAGGAAAGAAAGACCATGTGAAAGGACCCATTTCTGTACTCCAGAAGATCCTAATTTATTAGTCAAGAAAATCCTACACTTATCACAAATGAGCCAGAAAGGCCAATGCTCCCAGGGTCTGGGATTTAGGAAAATTCAGGAAATGACTAATGTGAAGACTGTTGATATTATCTTCAAACAATGTGCATGAGGTCACAGACAGAGATTCACTGACAAGTTTGAAAGAAGACTTCCAAAATATAACTTTAAATTTATATCACGTTATAGGGCCAAGCCCTCTACTGAACATTATAAATGTTTTGACGATAAAATGATTTTATTGCAGCAGGTTTTTATGTTGATTCATCTATCAAATGTAAAATTTGTTACAGTCAAATTTTTTGTAATTCTACTGTAGTATTTATATTTTAATATATGGGAGCCTCAAATAATAGTAATGGCCCTGGACTTCTTGAAAACCCCGAGAAACCTATTCTTTTCTTCAAACAGATAGAGATATATTGTGACAAAGTGCTTTGATGTCACATTATAATAATCTGGGAAATACCAGAAGACCATGGGAAAGGGGGAAATTGTTATGCCTAGGGGCCTGCTGATATCCCTGCCAGGTGACAAGAAAAACAATCATGTAGATACTGCCATATATGTATATGTAGTAAGACTGCCTTCGGGGTGCGGTTTCCCTGACAACTGTCCAGGTAGGCATCCCAAATGCCTAGTGTTTGAAAATGGTGAGTGTGAGTATTAATAAGAAAGACACTCTGAGTTCTCTTTATTCAAAAATAACCCTCGATGCAGGCAATATGCAATCTTTTGGCATTATTTAGTTGCCACGAACTTCAGTTTCTCTGCTAGAAGGTCGTACAGTGAATGACTTTTCTCTCGATGGAGTACCCATATCCAGCAAGACCGAAATAATTATCGATACTTACCCTCGTCGCCCCAGATAACCCTGGTAATCTAGAGTTTCCATTTTTCTAATGACGAAAAGCGCGGGAGGCGCGGAGGCCACTGCCTTTTTGTCATGATGTGACTTTCACAACTCAGGACGAGGTCAGAAAGCTCACAATACTTTCATTATGCTGTCTAAGTGGCTCAGCAAAATGCCACCCTCAGGGACCATGTGACCTAACGGATAAAGCATCTGACTTCGAATCAGAAGATTGAGAGTTCGAATTTCTTCGTGGTTAGCAGCTGTTTTTTTGCGCTTCTGTAGTAATTGCTATGTAGGAGGTTCAAAGTCATGTGTTTTCCGAACCCTTTTCTTCCTGTTCTATTTTTAAAAGATTATTCTCAAAAGCTTGGGAGAACGGTGTCAGGGATGAAGAGTGGCTGAAATTCAAAACTGAAATAAGCCCTTCTAATAATTTGGGAGGGGTCTCAAGTTCTCCCCAAATTTGGATTTGAGTGCCGGACTTTCAGCTTCACAGGCTGGGCTTGTGTTGAGCCTCTTTGAAAAGGGAATTCTGCCCTGTAAGCCGAGCTCTCTGTAACTGAGGCCCCAGTGAACAGCACAGGGGGAACCCTGCTGCTGCTTCTTCCTGATGGCTTCCCCCAAGGCCACAACGTCTTCTTCACATTTCTCTTCTAGTCTGAGTTCCAGTTGCTGCTGGAGTAAAGCCTGTCACTGGTTTTCACTCTTCGCCTATCTTTTCCATCCTAACTTTCTCTTTTCCTTTGGTTTTGTTGCCATCAAAAGAATGAGAACTCATGTTCAAACCTAAATTACAAAGCAGAATGTTAAGGCCATTAAGAGAGCCCAGATGTTTTCAGAGTGTGTATGCAAACAGGAAGGCAGAGAAGATAGCTGCGTGAAATATACAAAAACATTTTTTGTGTGCCTAAATAACTGAATTTAATAATAATTTAGGATGAAGAAAACTTAATTTCTAATTGTTGACGTCCTGGTGAACATACGGTGTTTGATTTCAGATAGATGCAAATGTTGGGTTCAAATCCCATGGAGGTCATTAGTGCTTTTGCTAGGTCAAAGCAATGAATATTAAAACATGTAATAATTACCTCTTTGTTTCCCCAGTGATAGAGGCAGTTAACTTTTACATAACATCTCCCGTTTATCCATCACTTAGCCAAGTTAAAAGGAGATGGTCAAAAAGTTGAAGACAGCCTCTGCATGTCAGAAGAGTAAAAGATTTTTCCAGTTTTCTGTATTTTAACATGCTATATTTTTGTTTAGATAGGGGCTGCTTTGGGCCAAGTGACAGCTTTTAATTTTTATTTAGTAATTCTATTTATTTTCCATTGTGACTTCTTTCATATAATTTAACATGGTCTGGTGGTCTTCTATTATTTAGGCG